CACACATAAATCAAACTGATTAAGTACAATATTTTTTTCAATAGCTTGCACACAAAAGCACTATCCTGAAAGACAGCATCACTAAGTACTTTACAATATTACTTTAGCTTTGAAAAACAATTACTCTTAGAATTTAAAAATATATTTAAAAAATATGTTTATCTTATTCCTTGGTTTTCAAAAATAAGGATACCATACAATGAAAAATGCTTGCTAGTATGGTGAATCATACATACTTTTGAGCAGTAAAGTACCTTTACAAAGAAAAGTAAGTACAATAGCAAAGACTGGTACAGAGGAAATTGGGATACTGATAACAGCAAGAAAAGTCCACAAATAGTATTACAGAATCAATTCAATGTCGATGTCTTTGCTAAAATGTGGTCTATATTTATTAATATTTCATATATCATTCTCTATCCAGTAGCACTTCTTAGAGAATCCCACATACTCATAGAGATCCCATGTACAATAGAAGGAAGCCCTGCCCAGTCCTGTGCCATCCTCACAATCCTTGCTGTGTTTCAGCCATAGTTGCAGCCATTGTGTCAATATATATCATTGAGGGTCCTCATCTACTTTACCAGGTATGATGCCCTTCTGCAGAGACTAGTGCCTTCTGATTAACATGCCCAAAGTACACGAAACAAAGCTAAACCATCCTTGCTTCTAAGAAGCATTCTCGCTGTACTTCCATGACAGATTTGCTCATTCTTCTGGAAGTCCATCATGTATTCGGTATTCTTTGCTAACACTGTAATTCAAATGCATTGATTCTTCTTTGGTCTTCCTTATTCAATGTCCAGCTTTCATATGTGTATAAGGCAACCGAAAATCTCATGGCTTTGATAAGGTACACCTTAGACATCAAAGTGACATCTTTGCTTTTTAACACTTTAAGCAGGTCTTTTGCAGCAGACTTGCCCAATGCAATATATCGTTTGATGTCTTAACTACTGCTTCGATGTATGCTGACTGTGGATCCAAATAAAATGACATCCTTGACAACTTCGATATTTTCTCCATTTATCATGATGTCACTTATTGGTCCACTTGCAAATATTTTTGTTTTCTTTATGCTGAGGTGCAATGCATACTTGAAGGCTTCAGTCTGACCTTTATCAGTAAGAGTTTCAAGTCCTCTTTGCTTTCAACAAGCAAGGTTGTGTCATCTGCATATCACAGGCTGTTAATGAGTCTTTCTCCAATTCTGATACACATTCTTCTTCATACAGTCCGGCTTCTCAGATTATTTGCTAAGCATACAGACTGAATTAAGTACGGTGAAAGTACACAGTCCTGACACACACCTTTTCTGATTTTAAATCACACAGTATCCCCTTGTTCTTTCGAATGACTACTTCTTGTCTATGTACAGGTTCTGCAAAAACACAAGTGTTGTGGAATTCCCTTTCTTCACAATGTGATCCATAATTTGTTACAAACCACACAGTTGAACACCTTTGCATAGTCATTATGCATTGCAACACTGCATGTACTACATATTACTAACAGTAAGATATACCCCCAAAAAAACCCACAAATGGTCATAAGTATGATTCACCATAACTTGAATAGTCGTAAGCTGAGAACTACCTGCACTTACTACACCCCTGTAGAAAGTCCTTAGGTGCATGGTTTCACTGGATTTCCACATCAACCCTATTATGTAAGGACCCTTATTATCCTTGTTTACTGAAGAATAAACTAAATCAGAGAAGCTAATGCACTCACCTGAGGTCACAGAAGATATTAATTTAATAGTCTAACATTTATGTCCTTGACCACTATTGTGGTCCTTTTTCAAAATATAATTAACTTTTGATTACCTCAACCATGATGCTGGTATGCTGTTCCAGTGGCAGTTTCCCTTCCAATCACATCACTTAAGCCAGACAGAGATAATACAACATGTGATCTCAATTCTTAGGGTAGAAATGAACTCTCCCGGGGAACGCAGTTGGAGTTGAGCCCTAAATTCACCCCTAAGTAGGTTACTCAGCCTCAGATTATCAGGCTGTGGTCCTACCCTTACTGAGTAGTTAATTTATAGAGTTTGATTGCTCATGTTAATGAACTCCTTTATGGGTATGGATAATCAAGAACAGACTGTATTTTGTATGCTTTTAAAGTATAACTTTTTGACTTCCAAGAGAATTTTTGATAGTTCTATCACTTAAAGGCATATAAAGTAAAGGGTTAGGGGAGTTGCAGAGAATTAAAGAAAAAAAGTTCTTATTTTCCCACATGATAGAACTTCATTATTTCTAGTTACCACATACTATGTCTAGTTACCACATAATAATAAAGAATGCTTTCAAACTTATTTGGATAACATTAAATTCTTTACAGTAAATATTACTGCTTTTTCCAAAGACAAGTTTTCAAGTATTGGGCACTTTAGAGTCTAATCAAAAACTGAAATACTATGTCTTCTTCCAAAACATCCCCCAAACCTGTTTTGTACTAATCCATTTCTGTCAAGTCAATCCCCTGTCTAACGGTGACCCTATGTGTGTCAGAGTAGAGCTGTGTTCCATAGGGTTTTCAATGGCTGATACTTTCAAAGTAGATTAACAGCACTTTCTTCTGAGGTACCTCTAGGTGGACTCAAACCTCCAATCTTCTAGATAGTAGCCAGGTATGTTTAACTGTCGGTACCACCCTAGGACTTTGTTTAAATTTTTTTCTGGTGGGTATGATTTTTAGCTGACCCACAAGATACTTCATTCAAATACGTGAATTTTTAATAGCCTTTCACATGCTATTTCCAAAAACTCATTTCAAACTTTTACAATTTGGCCTGAGCTGTTAGTAGTTGGGAAGTGGAATGAAATGTATAATTCTGTGAGGGTACAACAGAACTTGGTGATGGACCAGAATGGGTGAAGTAATGGTAAGGGAAGAAGCAAGTGCCACTCCCCTACAGTGAATTTGTAGTCTTAACGTAGCACTCGTGCTGACAATACCAAATAAGGACAATTACACACTTTTCAGTCTTAGCTGCTTAACCATAAAGTCTTACATTGCAATGTTTATTATAATGCAGTATCTCCTCCTCAAATTCTAAAGAGCTCTGATGGGTAGGGGTTAAGGCATTTGGCTGCTAACCAAAAGGTCTGTGGTTTGAACCCAACAGCAGCTGGGTGGAAGAAAAATGAGGCAGTCTGCTTCACTAAAAATATACTGCCTTGGATCTTCCAGTGGGGGTCACTGTGAGTCAGAATGAATTTGATGGCAGTGAGTTTGGGTTTTTTGGTTTGTCATATTCTACTGTATCCATATTATCTTTCTTAAATTTAGATTCTACTTGGGATAAAAAAAAGTTCCAGGTGAGCACAAAAGCACCACTAATTTTTTTTTTTTTTTTTTTTTCATCAAAACAAAGAAACAAGGGATACCAAGATCCCTGATCGCAAAGCCAAAAACCAAAATGGAAATAATTAGGGGACATGCTGAGGACAACTAACTTGCAAGAAGACTTTTATCCAAAAAAAAAAGGAACTTTTAGGCACTTTCACTAAGGGTATCACAAAACTTTTGCCCAGTTCCTCTAAAGTGTTCTATTCCAACAGTCACTACAGCTGGCTTTGAACCCCCAAGGCCTCAAAGCACCCAGTTAGCAACCGGCACCCAGGCTCCTGCACTAACGTCCGATGGCGTCTTCTGCAGCAGCATCCGAAGCGTTTCTGGCCGGCCTCTCGCAGAACAGGGCTTCAGATGCAGTGCACACCCAGAAGAAAATGCTTGGAACTCTTTCGTCGCAGGAGACCAGAACAGAAAGCCGAAGAGCCAGCGAAGTACTACTACCGATCTCAACAGCAAGAAAACTCGCTTCTTCTCCAACACACACCCGTCAGTCATTTTTTGCGTTTGATGGGCGCTCAAAGTGACCCGCAGCCTCCGAGCCTCGGATGTCGCACCTGTCACTTCGCTCAGAGACCCGAGCCCCACCCGCCCGACACCTGTCAACCAGGAGCCGCGACCCCTCCCAGCTATCTCCCCTCTCTCCAGATCACGGAGCCCTGTCATCCTCCTCCAGACCCTCCGCGGTGGTGCAGGGCAGGAAGGGACCCTCTTCGCCGGGACGAGGGCCCGGGGCAAAGACGCGCCCCCGCGTAGATACCGCGGCGGTTTTGCCCCAAAAGCCTCTCGGGCGCTTCCCAGCATCCGAGCCGAGGCGCCAGCGGCTCGGTTCACTCACCTGGCAAGAGGCAGGTCCTCGGGGCCACTGTCCTGCTCCAGATCTTCCTCAGGAGGGGGCGGCGGCGGTGGTGCCGGGGGTTCCACAGGGGCAGTGGCGGCAGCGGCAGCTCTTCTGGGGGTTTTGGGCGGCATGACGCCCTCACAAGGTTGGAGGCAGCGATCTGTGGAAGAGGGCAGGGGCGAGGGATGCGCGCACACGTCGGGGCACGCCCCGTCCTCGCTCGACTCCCGTTACAAAAATTATTTGAACGTCCCCTCAGAAAAACCGGACAAGCCCTCCCCCGCCCGGCAACAGAGAGCCGCGTCCAACCGCGGGAAAACGTCACTTCCGCTCGCGGCGTCACGTCCGCGAACCTCCCGGGCCAGCCGGCGTCTGGCGGGCACCCGGGCGCCGGGCAGCGCGCGGGCGGGGGCGCCAGGGCTAGCATGCCGGGCTGGGAGGCTGGGCTTGGCGGGGGCGCACTCCCTCAAACAACCTTTGCTACCTGGACCTGTTTTACCGGTAACTCTTCTTCCGGGTTGCAGTGCCCGTAATAGCATTAAAACGAGGTTGGGGGCGGGGGTGGGGTGATATTGTGCCCATCCCTACCTAAGGGTATGATCTGGACTGTCGCACAAGTTCTGTCAGTTATATCAGCCAAGTGCACTCTAGGCTGTCACGCCCCTCTCTATCCACAGGCAGTTACCTCCCTCTCCACTATACCGCTCGCGCCCCTTCCGTTAAGCCAAGTCCATCAAAACAAAAAGACGATTATCCCTTCAACAATCATTTGTGGAACACCAAATTGGTGCTGAACTTCAGCAATCACCGGAGGTTACACTGTGTTGGACAATTATTAGCCTTTTGGGGATCACTGGTTAGGACAGGAAGGGAGAGATGGGTAAAGAAGAAGTAAACAGATTATGGTGTGATAAAGGTCTTGTTAAAAATAAAATCCTGTATTAATTCAAAAGAATTACGCAAAAAACAGGTTTCCCCTGCTATCTGAAAGAGTTTGTGAAATCTTTCCTAAACTTAAATGACATAAAGCAAAGAAGCAGTTACCATTAACTTATATGGGAAATATCTTTGAGTGTTGCCAGACCCAAAATATAACTTACCATATCAAACCAAGTAATACATTAAAACTAAAATGATTCTAACATACAGTGTTCACAGACACAATTTGAAGCAATGTCTGCTACATGCTAACATGCTGAGTGTAGTTGTGAGGGAAGAAGCTTGGCAACATGACTCCTGCTGGGGTATACACTGCCTCTTTAATGTTGTTGTTAGGTGCCCTCAAGTCTCTGACTCATAGTGACCTTATGTACAACAGAATGAAACACTGCCCGGTCCTGTACCATCCTCATTATCCTTGCTATACCTGAGCCCATCATTGCAGCCACTGTGTCAATCCATCTTGTTGAGGGCCTTCCTCTTTTTCATTGACCTCCCACTTTACCAAGCATGATAGCCTTCTCCAGGGAGTGATTCCTTCTGACAACATGACCAAAGTAGGTGAGAGGAAGTTTGGCTATTCTTACTTCCAAGGAGCATTCTGGCTACTCTTCTTCCAGTACAGATTTGTTAGTTCTTTTAGCAGTCCATAGTACTCTCAGCATTTTTGCCAATACCACAACTCAAAAGCATCAACTCTTCTTTATTCTTCCTTATTCATTGTCCAGCTCTGACATGCATATGAGGTGGTTGAAAATACCATGGCTTGTGTCAGGCGCACCTCAGTCCACAAGGAGACATCTTTGCTCTTCAGCACTTAAAAAAGGTCTTTTGCAACAGATTTGCCCAATGCAATATGTCATCTGATGTCTTGACTGCTGCTTCCATTGGTGGTAATTGTAGAACCAAGTAATATGAAGTCCTTGACAACTTCATTCTTTTCTCCATTTATTGTGATGCTGCTTATTGGTCCAGCTGTAAGGATTTTTATTTTCTTGATACTCAGGTGTAATCCATACTGCAGACTGTAGTCTTTAATCTTCATGAGTAAGTGCTTCAAGTCATCCTCACTTTCAGCAAGCAAAGTAGTGTCATCTGTGTATCGCAAGTTGTTAATGAATTTTCCTCCAATCCTGGTGCCACGTTCTTCTTCATATAATCCAGTTTCTTGGATTATTTGTTCAGCATACAGATTGAAAAAGTATGGTGATAGGATACAACCCTGACACACTCCCCTCTTGATTTTAAACCATGCAGTATCCCCTTGTTCTGTTTGAATGACAGCTTTCTGGTCTATGAACAGGTTTTTCGTGAGTACAATTAAGTGTTCTGGAATTTTAATTCTTCTCCATGTTATCCGTAATTTGTTATGATCCACACAATTGAATGCTTTTGCATAGTCAATAAAACATAAGTAAACATCTTTTGGGTATTCTTTGTTTTAAGCCAAGATCCATCTAACATAAGCAATTATATCCCTTGTTCCACATCCTCTTCTGAATCCAGCTTGCATTTCTGGAAGTTCTCTGTCAATATACTGCTGCAGCGATTTATGAATTATCTTCAGTAAGATTTCACTTGCATGTGATATTAATGATATTGTTCGATAATTTCCACATGCTGTGGGATCACCTTTCTTTGAAATGGGTACAAATAGGATCTCTTCCAGTAGGTTGGCCAGATAACTGTCTTCCAAATCTCTTAGCATAGCCAAGTGAGTGCCTCCAGCATAGTCCATTTGTTGAATTATCTCAGTCGGTATTCTGTCAATTCCTAGAGCCTTTTTTTTTTTTTTTTTGCCAATTCCCTCAGTGCAGCCTTGACTTCTTCCTTCAATACCATTCATTCTTGATCATATACCACTTCCTGAAATGAATGAACATCAAATAATGCTTTTTTGTACAGTGACCTTGTACAGTGATAGGATAATATCTATACGCCTACAAGGAAGACCCATTAATATGACTATTATTCAAATTTACGCCCCAACCACCAAAGCCAAAGATGAGGAAATTGAAGATTGTTATCAACTTCTGCAGTCTGAAATTGACCAAACATGCAATCAGGATATGTTAATTATCACTGGTGACTGAAATGCACAAGTTGGAAATAGAGAAGAATCACTGGTGGTTGGAAAATTTGGCCTTGGTGACAGAAATAATGCTGGAACTTGCATGGTAGAATTTTGCAAGATCAACGACTTGTTCATCGCAAACACCTTTTTTCAACAACACAAACAGTGGCTCTACACGTGGACTTCACCAGATGGAACACACAGGAATCAGATCGACTACATCTGTGGCAAGGGGTGGTGGAAAAACTCAATATCTTTAGCCAAAACCAGGCCAGGAGCTGATTGGGGAACAGACTATCAACTGCTCATATGCAAGTTCGACTTGAAGTTAAAGACAATTAAAACCCAAAGTCCAAGAGAGCCAAAATATGATCTTGAAGATATCCCTCTTGAATTTAGAGATCATCTAAAGAATAGATTTGATGCATTGAACACCAACGACTGAAGACCAGAAGAATTGTGGGAGGATATCAAGAACATTATCCATGAAGAAAGCAAGAGATCACTAAAAAGAC